ATAATAATAATAATAATAATAATAATAATAATAATAATAATAATAATTGGGCCTATGCCATGTGGGCCTTTATAGTCGATAACCAGCATACTGAATTGTATCCAAAAGTCTAATTGTAAGTAATACATTCAAAAAGAAGTAACATGGCATGGCCATAGGTGCCTGTTAAAGCTGCTTTCTAGGACAGCTTCAGCTTTTAAATTGTTTTCAAGACCAGCACTATGTATAGCATATTTCAATAATTTGCATTGTGGTTGTCTTAGGGCCTCATAGTCTAACTATGCTACAGAAAATGGATTTGTGTGAAGGCCTACCTACTCCTTGACCAAGAGCTATACATCTATGGAAACCCACACATTGTGTACCAGTCCCAAAGAGTGTAATATAACCCAATCATGACTGAAGATAAAGCATCTTCACACTCATGTGATCCATATGATTATAACCACTCCATTTAGGGGTCAACTTGAGTCCATTCCTTGCCATCCCGCTTTTTGATACCTTCCTAGTTCAAATGCCCTTTTTGTCAAGATTTGGTTTTTCTAAAAGGATGTTCCAGGATTTCAAAACTCTAACCCACTACTCCTCCCAATAACATGTCTTCTGCACATTGAATCTGTCCAATGCATTATTTTGACTGCAGCCAAAATAATGAGTCTTAATTCTTGAAAAACCAAAGATAGCAAGGTGGACAATCTACAGTTCTTTGCCAGACACTCCTTAAGTTCTCCTTATGCTCTTGGAGCTCCATACTTCTAAATTTCAGTGTCGTAGAGGAAGAAAATTAGAAGCCTGAGCCTATTTAGAGATGATAAACCCATATTAGAATAAGCATTAAAATAAGTTACCCTAGATAATATTTTTAAATTGAATTCTCCAGTATCCCTCACTCCCCAAAATGAAAGACTAAATAACCGAGAGCATCCTGGCCTTATCTATGGGCATGAAGCATTATATACATTTCTCATCACCATATCTTAAGAAGGAATTATTGAATTGGAAAGGGTTCAAAAAAGAAAAATCAGGAACATTTAGGGGAGGGGGCTAACAAAACAGTCAAGATTGTGGTCAGAAGCCCAGAATTTAAGTTGCCTTTAAAGTGCAAAAGCAGCTGTCCTAAATGAAAGATTACAGCAATTAGCTCCTTAGTTTGCAATGAAGGAGGCATGACAAGATTATATAAAAATCATGAATGGCACAAATAATATGTATAAAGAGATTTTTACCTTCTTTCATATTGCTAGACTTATTTACAGGAAAAAAAAACTTACTTTTTTACATAACATGTGGTTAAATTGTGAAATTGGCTACCTACAATGGGAATCTAGAGTACACCTAGAGTACTGCATCCAGTTTTGTTCACCATGCTATAAAAAAGATGTTGAGACTCTAGAAAAAGTACAGAGAAGAGCAACCAGGATGATTAGGGGACTGGAGGCTAAAACATACAATGAATGGTTGCAGGAACTGGGCTTGGCTAGTCTAGTAAAGAGAAGGACCAGGGAAGACATGATAGAGGTCTTCCAATATTTGAGGGGCTGCCACAGGGAGGAAGGGGTCAAGCTATTTTCTAAAGCACCTGTAGGCCAGACAAGGAATAATGGATGGAAACTGAACAAGGAGAGATTTAACGTGGAAACAAGGAGAAGCTTTCCGACAGTGAGAACAATCAACCAATGGAACAGCTTGCCCTCGGAAGTTGTGGGAGTGCCATCACTTGAGACTTTCAAGAAGAGATTGGACTGCCTGGGGGCTTCTGGTTTGCAGGGCTTCGGCGGCAGGCAGGAATCCGCGATCATGCGCGGTTTCTGCCTGGGCTCGCCGCTGGAGCGCCCCGAGCCAGCTGGCTTCGGGGCTAAGCCACCCCATAGAGGTGGTGAAGAGGGGGGAGATCGCCAGCAAGGTCGAGGAGAGCCGCATCTCTCCTCCTCAGCTGGTCAAACTCCCTTTCCCAAAGGCGGTAGGAGCAGTGGTCAGAAATGGCTACCTCAAAGAAGCACTCAACCGGAAAAGAAAGTGCAGGAGGAAGTTAAGAAGTGAAAGTTTTGGCTGACCGGGATAAAAAGCAACAACTAAGGTACCCTGGAATTTAAATTTTATAAAAGATAACATTGCTCCCAAAGAAGAGTTGGAAGCAGCGAAAGAAAGTGAAAAGGGAAAGGTTTTTTTTCTTCACTCTCCTTCCTCACATTGACAACGAAGAGAGCTGAATAAGAAATCGGAAAAATCCGCTTTGGCACCAATAATTAAGCTGAAAATATAATTAAATGCCAAAGGGACAATAAAGATTTCTGGACACTAAAAAATCCTTTTTGTCTATAAGTAGGAAGGGAGAGGAAAAGAATAAGGGCAGGATTTGGAAGGAGGAGACTGCCTGGATTTTAAAAGAATTTAATGTAAAATCTCAATAAGACTTCTAAAAGATACATTTAAACTGGAACTTTGTAACTAAATAGTAACCCCAAGAAGAGAAAGTGAAAAAAGAAGAAAGTGTAAAAAGAAACAGCTTGTGTGTATTTGGATTGCTTGGTGACTTTGGGATTTTTGGATATTATATTTGAATGACTAAAAACAATTGGGTGGTTGTTTAAATTTTTTTACAATGGCACTATCTCTGGATGAACTGAAAATGGAATTTAAAAAATATAAAGAAGT